TTCGCCTCCCTTTTAAGGATTGTGCTCTGTTGCGTGCCCTCTTGTAGATGGACCACGTATCGGCAATCATGTACGCCCTAAAACGGGCCCAGCATCTCCTCCTGACTGCTAGTGCCCGATCTAGCTGTGGCCTCTACCAAGCTGGTCGTTGCCTATTGCTCCTAGGTTTGAATGGTGCAAACCTATCGGTCAGTCTAAGCAGCCCTACCTTAATGACAGACCATCGCCCTTCCAACGTTGGCTCGGGAGATAGNGGGAGATAGTGGCTCCCAGTCTACGTGTTCTGCGGCCTCTTGTAAGGCAGCAACGTTTATACGACTATAGCACCGTTTAAATGGAGCAGCCAGTTTGCTGTGTTTCATGAGTAATACTAACCTCAGTACCCCATGGTCACTCTTACCCAGTGGATTCTCCACTGCTTCCTCAGTTATGTCCGACAAATACCGCGTTCTAACTAAGTCCAGGACGGAGGCCCTCTGTTGGTTGCGAACCCTTGTGGCCTGCAAGATATGCTGAATGAGCACATGCTCATGTAACCATGTTAGAAAGCTTCCTCCCTTTGTCCCAACGGGAGCCTCTCCTTCGACCCAACAGATCTCCGGAAGATTGAAACCTCCCAGAATTAAGATCTCCTGGGTCCTCGATATGATTTCCTGCATTGTAGCAAGTAGTTCCATATCTTCCGCGGGTTCCGCCTGGGGTGCGCGATGGACTAGTAGCGCTCCTAACGGTCGTCTTCCCAAGAGGATAATACATGCCTTGGCTTGAATATTAGGTGTTACCAGTTTTACTGGTGAGTCCCATTGAGTGTAAGCGGCTTTGACCAGCAGGAGTACTCCTCCGCCTTGTCTGCCGTCCACTCTATCTTGCTTATAAGCCCAGTAGTCTCTGGGCTTTTCTACATCTTGCTCATGCCGCATTCAAGTTTCAGTGATAGCTATCATCACCGAATTTTGGGTGCGCGTCGCCAACTCCCCCATTTTCCCCTAACACTGCAGGCGTTAGTGTACCACACCGCGACGGTGTCCACCTCCGCCTTCATGCAACTCTTCCTTGTTGCTTGGGATGGATCCTCGGACGTAAGACCCGAGGAGCTATTACGGTTTTTGATACCACATTAGCGGGTACCGGGCGATCAGGCTCCGTGAACGACCAGGATATACCCCCCACAGACTGTGATGACTTTGAGCGTTAACCCAAATTCCTCACCGAGTCTTTTCATGGGCGCTCGCTGCCTTCTAAGCGTGGATACTGTCCTACTCAGAGGGAAGTTTCCTGAACATCCCTTGCTACCACTGTGGCCCAACCAACGGACGCTGATTTCGCCTTGGTATCAGCGACCGTAGACTCACCCATCTTTTTAACTCCCTCAGCCTTGGATGGCTCCGGCGGAGTGATCTTTAGTGGGCCATCTGATTTTCTATTATCTGTTTTCCTCCCGGAGACTCCAGCTGGGGACTGCCTCGGCTTTTTCCCCTCCTGTTGTCGCTTTTTGGCCCATCTGGCTTCGGTTTTATGGGTATGGACTTGCTCAACGGTGACCCAGCTGATAGACTTTGATGGACCACCCTGCGTTGGCATGCCTCGCCTACTCCCACTCCATGTGTCTTTGGTGCCTTTAGTTTGCTCAGGATAACTCTGGGCTGCTTTTGTTGCATTATTCCTGTTGCAGGAGTAGTGGGGATAACGCCCGCTGGGCGTGATGAACTGTATCAGGGGTGACTTTGATGCACCCCCTGGTGTTCATCTCCAATGTAACAGCCCTAGAGAGTAGAAGGTTCCGGCTGTATGTGCTGCAAAATACTACTAGTACAGGCCTGGGTCTGTTTGTCTGGTTCTGTCTGCACAGCCCAACCCTGTGGCACTTCACATAGGGCGTATTGGCCGGTATACCCGCCAGTCGAAAAACATCTTGAACATGTCTGCGATCCGCCTCTCGTCGTGCTTTAGTATCGCGAATCAATGGCTCCGCACAGTTATGCAGCAAGACGTTTCTCGTTTGACCCAGTAGCGCTTGTGTGTTGCGTTGCAGTTCTTGGAGATCTTCCTCCAAACATTCTACACGTGCATTCACCTCTATCGACGCCAACTGTTTAACCATCGCCCCTTTGAGTGGTTTTGTGCTCGTGATTTTCTCCTTTCCATTGCTTTCCGTCGTAATTCGTTTAACGCCATGCGTCACCGCCTCCACCTGCTTCACTGCTGATCCCGGCTCGCGGGTATTGGAGGTTAGTGGTGAACTGGTGGTCACAGCCCCTACCAAGGCTCCTTTCAGAATGCGTGAACATTCCCCTATCAGAGCCTCGCAGTGTGCGCATATCCACTTTAATTCTCCATGCTGAAGGTGCAGCGCATAGCACTGCTTCGACATCGTGGAGCATTTTTCGTGGTACCACGAGCCGCATCTATTACACTGGATACAATTACTAACCGATCTACCGCAACCCCTGGCTCCACACGTGTCAGGGTGCTGTACCATGGTTACTTTAGTAGCCATGAATATAAAGATCACGTATCGTACGGAAAAAAACAATATTTAGGAAAAGCAGTTCAAGTTACAAAATCCCTGGACAACAATACTCAACCAAAAATGACTCAAGCCCGCGTTAAAACGGGACCAAAAATTCGCAAAAAGTAAAACTGGCCGGCCAGTTGGGCCGACTGTACAATACAACGACTGGGAAAAAGCCTATGAAATATCTGCTGATATTTCACTTTTAACTAAATGGAGCTTCAAAAGTGTGGCCCCCTTGAGGTCACAAAACGAAACGAATAATGAAAGTGGATATTTTACTATATATACTTTGAAATATCTATTGATATTTCACAATTAGCTGAGCAAAATTCTTTTGATCACGAGCAATTTGAAAATTCAAACCGGGCGCTAACGTACCGCAAAGTAGTTCAGTTCAGTTCGGTTCAGCAGGATCTAGATGCAGTTCGAAGGTGGTTGGATAAGTGGGATCTGCCACTGAATCTAG